GCTCAAAAGCTTTTGGTTCAGGGCTTGGGTGTTGTGTTTATTAACATAATAAAAGGGTTCGAATGCGAACTCCAAACAGAGGCTATCATTTCATTATCCATTTGATTCTCCATTATTGGGGTAATTGATTTTCCTATATGTCCATATATACCCATTTGACAATTAAGAATATGCCCAAATTTTCCAGCTGTCAAGCCAAGCCACTCGACCATCTTGAACAGGTCGCAGGGCGGTTCCAGAAACTCTGCCACGCACTTCCCAGGGTTCGAAGCTGGTGCTGGGCCCTGCTGTGTTGCTGTAATCCTGAAGTCAGCGGCAACTCTGAATTCTGCTCAAGATTCAGCTCACGTTTTCCTCAAACCCTGAATGGGGACGAAGGGAGGCGTTGCTGTGAGGGGATACAAAGTCAAAGTCGCTGTGCTTACGGATGAACTCTCCAGCCTGAAACCTTTCTGAAAACCCACATCTCCGCACCCTCGCCCTGAAACAAAACCTGGCTTGGGGATCCAATGACATGTGTACTGTGTCCAGGAACAGACCCTGTTGGCTATGTTGAGGCCCATGGCGAATAAACTAGGACCACTGCGATACAAAACATGCAAACCCTCTGCCGGCAACCATGACCACCAGCGTATAGTCTGTACAGATTGAACGAAGGGTTGGAATCACCAGCACCTTCCAGGGCTCGTCTCCGCAGCCGCAGGCGAAGGCGTGGCAGGCAGTGTTGCAGAAGTTGCAGGCGCAGCGGGCGCAGCGGGCGAAGCTGGCCCAGCAGGCAAAGGCGCTGTCGAGGGCTCTGAGCTTTGCCGGGCCTTCGAGGCAACTTGAGTTTGCAGTCGGCTCTTTCTCAAAGGCTTCACCATGCCCTTTAAGTACAGTTATTGTGCTACGTAGAGTCTGTCCTGTGGAATTAATAGTAACGGGCAATCTGAGCTTTAGTTCTCTCCAAGGACGCTCTACGGCCCCAGGTGCTTCAATGCTTCTTGAACCAACTTCAAGACTGGTCATGTCAGGGTGGCTTCCTGGTGGGCTTCCTACTATTTCATCTTAGCTAGCTTCAAGCCCCAAGACCAGCAGGCTTGCTTACAGAAGCTGATGTTTTGGGCGCCTAAACGGTGGAAGGGTCGCCCATTCAGCTGCCAGCCTTGAGGCCCTTGGATTAAAGGATAGCCCGGCCTGCTGTGGACCCCAAGATGCGACGAAACTCTCATGTAGTCCATGAAACAAGGGTCGTAGAAAAGCAACTATGTCTTACAAGCTGGCTATACCCTGGCAACAAGCTGGGTACAACTTGAACCCAGACCCTCCATCTACCCTCTAATATACCCTAAGTTAGGGACAATCTACCCCTATTTAAAAGTACAAGGAGGGCAAGTGACCCAGACCCCCAAAAGGATCTAAACATTAGATCCCCTAGAACCATAAGGGGACTCATATAAGGATTATATAGGGGTTCTAATGGGTCTATATAGGGGATCTAATTTTTAGATCCTCCCAGGGGTCTGACTACCTAGCCTCTGGCTCCGAGGAGGCTTGGAGCACGGAAAGCCCAGCCGCGGTCCTTTGCTGAAAACATAGGGCTTAGGGTTGAGGGTTTAGGGCTTCCGAATCCGTAAAAGGGACTACATGGGGCTTAAGAAGCTTCTAGGAAATTGTAGGAATATTGCATAAAGATCTCTGAAAAGTCTGAGTTGCCAGCTCTAGTTCCAAACCACTCGAACCCTGGGACAACAACTGAATCCTGAACACTTATATACTATAGTAGTTTCCATTTTATTTTCCATAATCCCAATATATCCCCACGATATACTCCATAATCCCCACATAAAAGCAAGGCTCAGGATCTCAAGTTGTTGAATTTGTTGGGTCTCTTGGGCTTTTGCAGGCTCCCGCTGGTAGGGGATGACTGCCGGATGACACGACAGAATGGCTTCAAGCGGCCTCGCTTCTGTTGTAAGTTAACCTACCGGAGGAGCTGGCACAGATTTTGGAGGTCCTGAAGGTCCCAGCTACCCGTGACGCAACATAAGGCGACCCAGCAAGCAACGCTGAGACGTTCATGAACTGAGGGAAGGGGACAAAGGTGGGCTGGGGGGGCACCCTAAACCCTAAACCCTAATAGTAGTTTCCATGTTCTTTTCCATTATCCTTTTATATATATATATATCCCTATATAACCCCTATATCCCCTAAAAAGGGGATCCTAAACCTGGGACTCTGGGACGTCAAACTCTCGCCCTGGCTAATCACCCCAGCCTCAGCTCGCAAATATTAGGGTTATATTAGGGTTTGGGGTTTATATTGGGGTTATCTTGGGGTTGTATCAGGGTTAGATTGGAGGTACATTGGGGTTATATTAGGGTTATATTGGGGTTACATCGGGGTCATATTAGGGTTAAATTAGCGTTATATTGGGGTTATATTGGGGTTATATTAGGGTTATATTGGGATAATGGAAAAGAAAATGCAAATCACTATATATATATATAAACTTGTTTTGGGAGGGATATCCCTGCATCCGGACCTTACGGAATTCGAGTTCCATGCTCCCTCGATTTGGCTTCTGCCAATCTACATTTTCGCCTGGTCGATTCAGGAGATTCGCAGATTGATTACTTAGAATTCCAGCCAGAGTCCGCGAGGGTCTTGAAATCCACCGCCCTTCATACAGTTGCATCTGGATCTTCATCTCACGTTTCATCCTAGTGATTTGGATTTGATTTTCGTTCGACCACATTCATCCCGAACTCTACACTGGAATGGGGTCATGAAATGGGGCGGGTGGGAACGCGAGGTCATACTTTAAGGAGAGGGAGCCTTTCCTTGGTACGGGCTGATTCTGCAATACTTTTGCTCTTATTCCTGTGTTCGTCCTAATGGCCCACTGACAATTATCCTTTACAGTTCCCATCTCATTCTTAGGAAATTATTCCGGCACCTAAACCCCATTGCTTGGGCAACTACACTGCCTTGCTGGCCAAGAGTCTGCTGCTGCGGAAGCGAGACAGTGGAATCTGGAAGTCCATTCCTGCAGCATCCGCTTGCGTCTAATTGGTGTGAGCATGCACAAAGTGTATGGTCGGCTATTTTGGGATAATGGAAAAACATCGAAACTGCTATACTACGTTGGGGTTATATTGAAAATGGAAACAACTATAAGGGGTTCAGGGTTTAGGGTTACGTATAAGCTTTCATAGGCATTAGCGACAGCATCTGCAACAAACGGGCAAACAATTTTGAACTGATCCCGGGCTCAACCTCGGACTTGAAACAAAGGTTTAGGGTTTAGGGGTTTAGGGTTTAAGGTTCTCAACATGTTCTGCCAGTCTGGGGTTCTCACAATTGAGATCCAAACAATGTAGGGAAATCTATAGGCGGCCACGAACTTGGAGAAGCCCCCAAGCCCCCATATCACTCGTATCGTCCTAGATGACATAATCAACCACAGAGCCCCTAAGCAACGTTCATTTGCTCCCCATTCTTACCGTGCAGACCTCCACACCACGACGCAAAGCACGGCGAGCAAACAGCTGCCAAGAATGCGTCGAATGGCCATGGGATGTCTTTTAGGGATTCAAGGTTTAAGCACGAGGGCCTTTGGGATGTAGGTAGGGTTTAGGATTGGGGGTCTTTGGTTTGGGGGTTTAGGGATAAAGCTTCAGGGATTAGGATTTGTTGGGATTGAGGTGTGTGTGGGTGCGCGTGCCATAAGCATCATTTTGATAAGAAGACTTCCCTTTTACAGTTGTCTGGGAAGCAGGGGGTGAGAAGGAGGGGGCTTTACTCCGTTCATATTGGAAGAGGCACTGGATGTACCTCAGCCCTCCCTGCATGCAACATAATATTGGGGTTGTATTGGGGTTATATTGGGTGATATTGGGTTACATTGGGTTAGTATTGGGGTATCATGTTAGGGTTATATTCTGCGTGACGCACGGAAGGTGCAGATGCTTCAATATAGCGAGCCAAACACAGCTTGAACACCAGGATGCATTAGCTTCAACCAACACGTCTTCAATGATTCCTCATGTCCTCGATATAATGTGCCAGAGAACCCAGAGCATCCCTACATAAACCGCCACCTTTGTGCAAAACCATGACTCACATGCATTTCGTATAGCAGCAACTGCTGGGCGAATTCGAAGCAACTGCATTGCAAGCTTCAAGTATGCATGTATATCTATTTCAAAACAGACTTATACAGGCATAAGGATCCCCTTGAAGGACCACCGTTCTTCGCCTACCGGAGTAAACGTGAAACAACACAATTGCCTCATCGGAGATCAGACTCACAATGGGAGAGTTTAGGGAAGGATCCCCATACTTTCTTGCGAGGGCCACATGGCAAGGCTTGCTCCACTCGTGAAGCATTCTAGAGCATCCTTGGAGATTCACAGCTATGTTTAGGAGTTAGGAGTTGTTGAAGCCGTAATGGTAAGTTTCTTCACTCAGGCTCCGATTGCGGCTCTAGAGTTCTCATTGCACCTTGTTATCCCGGAGCAATCCATGACCTGCAGAGGAAACAAACTCAATTTTGGCAGCTCTGCCTTTCCAGGTCTGAATGCCCAAGCAGCCAAGCAGGCCCTCAGATGCGAATCCTCCAAACATCACTGGACATATTCAAGCACTTCCGCGGGAAATCATGACTCCGTTTCTGCTGCAAGTCGTGTAGCCTGCCCGGCGTCGCCCCACGGCTCGATGGCGAGCCTTGGGGATGCGGAGCGTTTCCAGTTTAGGGCTGAGAAGATGGCAGCTCACGTCACTGCAAACCATTAAACATGGGATAACATGGGATGCCTGGCTGAAAGCAGTCTCACACTGCCCTATCACACGTCCAGTGTGACGATGGGTGAGCTGCATACAGCGCACCTCCTCGGGTTCCATCCGCCCATGTTGACCTCCGCACTCCTGTCTCGTCCTCGCAGCTCTAAGCAAGAGATTGGAAACCGCCATGAGGCTAACACTTGTCTAGACATTTTGCAGGAAAGGGCCGTGCAGCTTCAGGCGCATCCCGTCTTGGGACTCTTTGAAACCTTGGCCTCCCAAGAGAAGCGTTCCTCTTCTCCGTCTGGGCCAATGATGCAAATCTGGTTGAAATTCTCTGGAATATTGGCATCCTTGAGGATTTCCTCAATCACCGCCGAATCCAGGATAAATCTCGGCTGGATTATCGGCTTGAGGTGTTTCCTTGCAACCGCTGCCCTTTGAAGACAGTACAGCTTCCAGGGCTCAGTTGTGAAAAGCTGTTCTGTCCCATCCGCCGACTGGGCTCGAAAGACCATCATGGGGAATTCATGCCCCAAGTAGCAGGTTTCGGCATCCGAATTGACCTTAACCTGTTGCCAAACCCGGCTAAGAGGGATGTTTTCGGCTCGCCCCTCGGGCTGCTTGTGACCGATCTGGCTGCAAGCATATCCTACAGCGAAAGGTGATATGCGTCCCATGTCCGAGCATACAGTTACATCGGACTGCTTTGGGCATGGAGTCCAGGCTTTGGACTCTGTCACTGCTGGTTCTGCTGGCTGGGAATGTTTCGACTGGCTGGCAACTTTTGGCTTCAACGGCTTTGCCACTGCCTCCACGGCACTGGTGAACAAACGCGAGGCAGCGCGCGTCGGGCGCTGACCTGCAGTACCGTGGCTTCAAGATCAAATAAAACAGACTGCGCTGAACCAGGCCTGCGTGCTCTAGGCCTCCATGCTCCTGGTGGTGGTCTTCGTTGTAACTACGACCCTTCCAATCGCCTGCCGCGGCAGCTAACAGGCACCCCATACATGCGCTGCAGCCACTTTGCGGCTTCAGCCCTCCTTCAATCAGAAGCTCAAAGACAACGTCTGGCCTTCGTTCCAGCCCTTCCAGCTTTTCCAGCTGCCTGGACTAGATACTTGCTAGGGGCTTGCAGTTAGTGTTCCCACAGGCACAAACCACTGTGGCTTCCAACAGTTTCAGCCTTCGCGATCATTGTATGAGGAATGCTTTCGCCAAGCCTCCCACGCACCTGCAAGGAAGGTCTTCAGAGGCTGTCTCGCATAACCACTTTTCTGGAGCTGGCACTGACAGACTCACAAAACATGACCTGTTGCACCCAGCCTGCATCGCTGGATGCACCTGCAGCCGGGAAAGGGAGATTGACAAACGCCCGAACAACAATGGCACCCCTTGGCCTTCGCCCTCGCTGGATGAAGGTGAATCCTTCCAGTTGTTGCGATGCCAGCCTGTTTGTTCATTTGTATCACTTGGGGTTTCACATCTAAGCATTCTCGAACAGCCACAGCTGCAACAAAAACACAGGTGGCCTTTCCCATCGTGGGATGAGGCTTGATATCTCTTCACATTGTCGTTGCGTGTCTCCCAACCTGATGCATGACCGTTGTATCACCAGTACGCCTCGCAGGCTCCCGCTCAATTTAAGTCATCTAGGGATATCTCAAGGTCATTCTGGGTAATTCAGGGATAACCTATAAGATGTGCTCAGTTTGAACCAAATGGCCAACCTGCACAACTCGGCTGGCCTTCAGAGCCCTCAGATCTCTCCAACTTGGTGTAAGCAAGCAACCCAGATGCACATGTTTTTGTATGTATACACTATAAGATTGTATGATCTTATCTGCGTGTGTAGGTATATGTATAGGTACATGTGTACATATGGCGAGCCAAAACTCCGAATGGACCCTTCTGGCCTGCATGCTGGTTCCAGCCTGACTCCTTCCTCCAACTATGGTGGCCTCACCAAATCGCTGCCATCACTACTGCCTCACTGACTCAACATGCCAGGCCTCCATCGTCCCATGCCTTCCACTCAGCTCTCTTGCCATGGCTGGACCAGCCGTTCCACTCAGAATACGCCATGGCAACCCGGGAGGAAGCTTCTGAAACCAGGAAGCCCAAATGCTCTGATGTTGAGGTTTTCAGACACGCGGCCATCTTGTTCACTTGTGCGCCCATGCAACAGCTTACACACCCTGCAGCTAAGCTTCCGCGGCGTAGCTGTCTACTTCGAGAGCTACTTGCCCTTCAGAAGATCCCCAACATACTCCTTCGTCAAGCTCGCCCCCGAGCCCCGGCCACCAGCATCTTCACAGCGCCTCGCTGCCAGACATGCAAAAAACTCAACAGCTGGTCTCACAGCTTGTAGCGCGGGTGGAAAATCTTAAAGCAACTTAAGCAACCTCAGTCGCGCCGGCCTGCAAGAGTCCCAAGAAACGCAGCTCTGTAACAACTCCCGCAAGGCGCCCAAATCCCACAATATCCTACGGTTCATGTGAAGTGTTGCCTGCACTCGCTGAGCCTGCAAGGCGACGTGTCGGCGGTGGCTGCGTAGTGAAGCCTTGGGCAAAAGAGGATACAACGCAAGCAGTACGTCGCGCTTCTGCAACCTAACTTTCATGCACTAATTGCCTCACAAGTTGCAGGGCACACATCCAACATGAAGATGCATGAGCTACAATCATGTGCTGTAAGCCGCAAAACAGGAGAACAATCGCCATGCCGCGCCACGTGCGCTCTTGCAGACATGGGGCCACCAGGACGATGACGCAATGTCTCGCCAAACAATGCCCTTCCAGATACTGGATACCGCCTCAGCTCTACAACTTCCCTACACAGTGCCGTCCAAAAGGATACTTCAGCTGCAGAGGCCTTCACTCTACAAAGAAAATGGAATGACGTAACGTCTGGAGACTCAACATGCTGTGGAACTTTGCCTCTGAAGCAATGGAGCCATCCGCTTGCCTCCAAGATGACTTTGTACACGGCCAAGGTACCCTTCACAGCGTGCTGCGCGGTTCCACAGCACTAAACGAGGCGCGCGACACAGCATCAGATGGCTGTGACACGTTCTCAAGTGTATGCGGCAATGCGTCCGCTCGACATGGCGCAAAGCACCCTCTATAAACAAGCTCAGGCAATCACAAGAGTGTCCTCATCTGTAGATGGCCACAACATGCCGTAACCAGAAAACAAATATCTCGAAGTGCACTGCGTCTTTGTACATGTTACCTTCCCAAACGTGAGAAGCAAGTGCTAACAAACATAAATCCTGGACGCCTCAATCCTGAACCGAACTGAACTCCAAGCGCTGATCCAGTAGTAGCCACATACACACACAAGCAGAGCCTGAGAAGCCGGGCTTCAAGCGCAGCGACAGGGGATCTTCCCACACTTCCTGCGTCGGTTCTCTGACCGAGCTGCTTCACAGGCGTCGCTTCGCAAGGCTAGTTCAGAGACTAAAGAACTCATGCGTGGCGCGAGGCCAGAACACGGAGAATAGAGAGATGAACACCACTTGCAGCTTTGTGGGATAAGTAGTGAGTGGACTTTAGCTAAACTTGTTCAAGACTGCAGGTGCTCTTCTAGGATGCGCATGTGCTTTCAGGCTTTGTAAACATGACTGGAAGACATGGGTGGCACTGGGCACTCGCCAGATCAATGGGTATAGGGTCTAGCGTCAGGGACCCATGCTCAAAAGCACAGCTGAGAAGACACGATTCCAGAGAAAGGCACAGTAAGCATCGCACACCAGCTTCTTGGGTGCTGTTAGAATACTTAGAAGAAGATGACCATAATATTGTACATCATACGGTTTCCGTATGAAGGTACCTGAATTTATGCTTTTTCACAGCAACCCAGCACAGGGAACAGACGCTTCTCACGTGGCAGGGTTCCAGCCTGCCCACATTAACAATACCATCCAACCCAATTTACACCACCCCTCCTCAAGCTCAAGCCCACGACCCTAAACCCTTAAACCTACTGCCGGAAAAACACAAAAACCCTGCGATAGTAAACCCTGGACTCAAAGCCCCAAACCCTTAGAATGAAACCTGAAACCCCTCCCTTTGGCTCCCTGGCCTTAGATTCCATCCTGTGGCTGAATTCCGCCAGACGGCAGTGCTGCATGACTTTGTGCCTAGGGTTTCGGGTTCAGGGATTAGGGTTTACGATAGGTTTGTCGGGATTAGGGTTGAGGGTTTGAGGTGTAAGGCAGGTCCGAGGAGAGCAACCTGAAGCAAAAAGCGTTTGCTACTTGAGCTGATAGCCAGTAGGTGACGCGAACTATTGCAGGGGGATACAGATAGCAACTATTGCAAGGATCCCTTCCCTTGCCACCAGCACGTTTTGGGGAGTACAGTATCTTTTAGAATGCGGCGGCTCGCATTTTGGGAGCGCAAAAAATCGGAACCCACATTTGGAGATTTATCGTGTTGTGGGCATGCTGAAGATCGGGTCTCCCTGACATGGGGGTTTCCAAAAATTAGGTATACCTTCTCAGGAGTCCCCATAATATGGACCACAGTATTTTGGGGTCTATATTGCGGTCCCGCCATTTATGGAAACTGACTCATACCTCGAAAATATCGCAACCCTGGGCATGAAAACTCCCATGAAAGATCCCCAAGGTTTTGCAAGTCCCCCCGGCCTTTTCAACTAACACTTCCTGCTACGACTGTAAATGACAAAAAAGGAGGTTCAGGCATGGTGGGATCAGCGAATAGCAGTAACATGACAATTATAGTAAATGATAATAATAAATGATACTAACCATACATAATAAAGACCTTTACTTGGGGACCCTTAGTTGGGGAGACCAGCGTAGCGTTTCTCCGGTTTTGGTGGGACGGTCATGTTACTGCATTACACACAAGTTGCCTTGCTGAAAGCAATCTCACGACTGCTCTATCACAGGTCAAGCATGAACATGAGTGAGCTGCACATGCAGCGCACCTTCTCGGCCCCCAGCACTGGCCACCACATTCCTGCATCGCTGCAGCCCTGCCAGTCCTCGCAGCTGAAAGAACATGATTGCACACCTCCCTGTGGCTTGAGCTCGGAAACATGTGGGTAGTTGTCAAAATTATGGTCCCTTGTTGGGTGCCCTAAACATTAGGTGCCGTATTATAATAGGGATCCAAAAGGGGACCATAATTTTGACAACCACCCATGTACACGTCAGCTCAACGCCCTCCATGATGGCCACGATACTTCTCTCTGTGCGAGGGTTCAAAAAACGGGACAAGCCTGAGGTGACAGCTGGCTCTGCAAGAGCTGGATGTAGCTTCAAGCATGTCCTGTTTTGGGGATTCTGTACAACTTGTGTCTCCCAAGAGAAATCTTCTTCTGCCCCATCTGGGCCAATGCCGCACATCTGGTTGGCATTCTCTGGGGTGCTGGTATCTGTACTGGCACTGAACAGCTTTTCACAGCGGAGCCCTGGAAGCTCTACTGCCTTCAAAGGGCCGCAGTTGCAAGAAAGCATCTAAAGGCGATAATCCAGCCAACCTTTATCCTGGATGCATCCATGCATCCAGGATAAATCTCGGCTGGACGAATGGCTTGAGATGCTTCCTTGCAACTGCAGCCCTCTGGAGGCTGTAAACCTTCACGGTTCCATGGTAAACAGCTGTTCAGTACAGTGAGCCGACTGGGCCCGAAACACCTGCATGGGGTGACAGCAGCGTCTTGAGTTGTTCGAAAGGCGCTTCAATCTCTTGTTCAGCCGCACGTCTGGTTTCACGCAACACGCTAACTTCTCTGTGAGCTATGCTTCGTCGAACAACTGCGTGTATCCCGGCAGCTGCGCGTTAACCATGGGTTTCATTGCTGAGACTTCTTCAGTGCAGCGCAATCAGCTCGCCATGTTTTGCATGACGCGCTTTGCTAACACATGATGCCACCAGCATCGGAGCATGACAAAGGCTTGTTCACGGTCAGCATCCTCGACATGCAAGTCACGTACACAGGCTCA